CGCCTTGGTGGGTGCGCGCGTTGTGGGCCGCGCTGGGGGCCGCGGGGTGCTCTCCGTCCTACGGATGAACTCTGCGCAGAAGACATGCGGTCAGAGGGGCCCTGGAGCCCAGCCCTGCCCATCTCCCCATCCCGTGCAGCCCTCCAGCAGGGAAAGGGGACCCCAAGGAAAGATGTTCTAGGTCAGCCCTCTGCTCAGACCCTGATGATGGGGTGCCTCTTGGGGGCACCCGGGGTGCTTCCTGGAGCCAGGTGCCAGGTGCTGCTTCTGTCATTCAGCAAACTCTCGCTGGCAGCGGCTTTGTGCCTGTCTGTTGCTGGATCTCCCCACCTTCCAGCCCTGCCCTCCCAGGAGTCCGCAGGCTGGTGGGAGAGACTCACACTGTATGTAAACTCATGAGTGCAGCGGAAGGGAAGGAGTGCCATCTAAGAGCAAGTGACCCTTTCTGCTCCAACCCTTGGTGTTAAGGGCGAGGAAGCTGAAGCCCAGAGATGGGTAAAAATTGCTGTGGGTCGAAGGCAGTCAGTGACCCACACAGGGACCCCTTTGGTTAGGGTGAATATTCTTCAGGCTCCCAAGGCTGCTGGCTCTGCCACTGTCACAGTGGGCAGGATGGGAACTCTCTGGGTGTGTGGCTGGGGCCTACACTGATCCAAGCTGGCGGGGGAGGAAGGGGACAGGGCAGAGCCTGGGCACAGAAGGTTTTGGGAGCTGAGGCAGGTGGTTCCCTCTGGTCACTCGTGGGGATAACCCTCACTCTACATCAGGCACTGTGCTCTGTCCAGCCCCACCCCATGCAGGTGCAGTGCCAGGCTCTGGCACCGCTCTGTGTGACAGCTCTCAGGAGAGGGCTGAACCCCCAGGCTACTGTTACTATGCGGATGATCCTGGGGCCACCAGCCCAAACCCCTTTAATCTCCCCCAACACCTCAGCCAGTCCCACTTTGAAAACAACTGAGATGGGAGCTGAGAAAAGGCCTCTCAACACAAGGCTAAGGCCAGGGCTGGGAGCACTGTGACATGGGCTAGACTCTCCCCTCCTTGCAGCTTGGCCCTGACTCCACACCCCAGGCTGCCTGGCTCCTGCTTTGGCTCCAGCTGCTCCTCTGCCTACACTGCACTCTCCCTCTGCTCCCCCCCACCCCGCTTCTTTCCAGGCTCCAGGAACTCCTGGTCCCCACCCCAGTCTTGCACTGCTCTGGGTGGGTCCCCAAGACACCAGTCACACACTTCTGTCACAGGGCCTGGGACACTAAATGACTTCTCTGTCTGTCCCAGCCGGGATAGGGCCTGGTCTGACTTCTCCCTATGGTCCCAGCATCCAGCACAGAGTAACTAACAAAAGTGCCAGAAACTGCTGAATGAGTGAATGGAAAACGCCAAGCCCGGAAACTGACTGTGGCTAGAACTAGCTTCCAAAAGCACTGAGCTTGTCTCTTCCCGCAGTGTTCCTCTTCCCCAGGAATCCCTTCCTCAGGGCTGGGCACCCCCACCCGCCCAGATGGCCAGCCTCCCCCTCTTCCTGCCTCCCCTAACCCTCCGAACAACCAGTCTGCCAACTGGTGACCTTCCGGGCACAGCTGGCCTGCTGAAATAGTTCCTTTGGCCCACAGAGTGGTTTTTAAAATTACAAACTAGCTGCCAACATTTTCAAATGGGGAGATTGTCAGTAACAACCTGAGAAGGCAGAGACCATGGCGGTTTTGCTTAGGGCTGTATCCCCAGTGCAAGTGGCGCACATTTGTGGTGAGTGAGTAGATGGACGCACGGAGCTCCTGCTCCCCTTAAAAATGGGAAGATCTGGCAACACGGATCTGTGTTCCCTCCGAGCTCGGGCCCGGTGGGAGAGCCCCTCCTCGGGGTGTGCCCTTTCCACTTGGCCCCAGACCCAGGTGCAGCATTCATGGCCGTGCCTGACCCTCCCTCCCCACCAAGCTTGTCAAAATGGAACCATCTTATAAAAGGCCCAGCACAAGTGCCAGCCATCCCCGCAGTAACTCCTTCCCCTCCCCCTGCTCACACACAGACACGTCCTCCTTTTCTGTCTCTCCCAAGAACTCTGACAACACCTCCTGGCACCGGCTATCACTCCCCTTGCTTTGCCCTTCCAAGGCCTGAGGCCCCTTGGGACCACCCCCCATGGCCTGGGAACTTGTTTAAGGAGTTGTGGCCAGTCAGGCAAGACCCACTTTAAAGTTTCACCCACTTTAACTAAGTGTTAACGTGTGCCAGGCATGGTACTAGCCACAGGGGCTGAGGAAGGGCATCTTGCTTGGTCCAGCTGGGAGGACCCGCACGTGGCTGGAGGGGCAGCAGAGGGAGGGCTGTGGCAGCTTCCCTCCCCCACAGCATCCCCACCAGCGGGCACTTACTTTCTTTGGGCACAAAGTGGACGAGGCGGCTCCTCACCTTCACCTGGGCAGGGTGGATCTGACACTTGCCGGGTGGTGCCCGTCTGCCAATGACACACAGGAGGACATGACTCCCACCCTGGAAGCCCACCCTGAGCACGTGTCCCTGACATCAGCCCTTCCCCCGCAGCGAAGCAGGGAGGGGAAGGGCCGAGCAGGTGTGGTCAGGGGCTACAGTAACAGGCGGCCACTTGCTGAGCACCTACTTCGTGGCCTGCAGCATCAATGCCCGGTCCATGTCCTCAGGACTCCATGAGCCCAACCCCAGGACAGATGCCCCACAAAAGCCCACTGGGTGCCTGCTTCACCTCTGCCTGAAGAGCACGCTTCTAATTCACAGCATGGACTGTGTCCTCCGGGCGTGACCAAATGTCAGTCTCTCTCCTCCCCCAGCCTGCCAGTCATCAGATGTATGAATAACACAGGGTCTCCTGTAACTGTGGCTGATTCTTGCCCCCTGCCCTCGCCCCCCCAAGGCCTTTGAGAAGGGTCTCCCTCTGCCCCTCTGGTTCCTGGATTTCTGGTGAAAGAACCTGACAGATTCCTCTGCCTGGAGGAAGCAGGGAAAGGTTGTGTCAATCTCAAGGATAAAAGGAGGTGGGGGGTGGGGGTGGCAGGCAAGCCTCAGGTCTGGGAGCAGAGCCAAGGGTCTGGGGGCCTTGGCGTGTGGGGTTTGAGAGACCTGGGAGAGAAAGAGTCCGAGAAGGGTTGCCAGGGCTGTGAATTGGGTCTCCTTTGACATCTTTAAGGGGCACAAGAAGGAAAGGAATTCCATTCTAATTAGTTTTTGGCTGTCGATCTGTGGTTCTTTGAATGGGACTGGCCCTATTCCGGGACTGACCCACGTGGGTCCACAACTTCAACAGGGTTCTGTCAGCACGAGGCGGAAAGCTCAAGGGGTGATGCAGCCATGTGACACCAAGTGGCCTCCAGACAGGCTTGGCAGCAGAGGGAAACCAAGGAAGAACATGGGCCTTTTTCCCCACAGGCTGAAGAAACAATTAGAAGCTGGAGGAACAGCACAGTCTTTTGCTTGCTCTGATCTCCAGATAATATCCACATGCTTCAGACAGACCCAGCAGGGATTTTGTTCCTTCTGGAAATTATGTGAAAAAAATTTTGTTGTGCAAAAGGTAGGAGACCATACAAAATGCCCTCGTGGTTGTGACTGGGCGGTAATAGATGACCCAAGCCCCACCCTGTCCACCCCGTTTCTTCATTTTCCAAATGTTCTGTAATGGAGCCTCTATGCAATATGTCAGGTGCAAAGAAACACATTATTCCAACAGAGAAAAATGAGAGAGGGGAGAAGGATCCAGGAGGAAGGGAGGAGTCTAGGCCATCTCTAGCTCCTCCTAACCACAGGAGCCGGAGCCGAACTCCCTGTGTCTTTTAGGTTTGCTCTCACTATGACACGGGTACAGTAGCCAGTAGGGAAAGGGCACTGCAAAACCCAAGCTGTATCTTCCGATGGAAACCAGGCACCATCTGGCATGCATTAGGTGCTCCATGTATGTGATATTTCCTTAGCAAAGCCTTCTTTTGTAAAAATTAGAAATAACCTAAAATTCCAAGGAATGAGTAAGACAATTATGGCAAAGTGACTCAACAGAAAATTACACAGCCATCAAAAACGATCTTTTCGAGCACGATGTTGCAACGTGGAAATGTTTATACAAAATAGGGATAAATGAACGGAGGCGCCAAAGTTTGCATGTGCTCCAAACACAATGATGTAAATCCTGGCGCTGCCCAGATAAAGACCTCGGGAAAATGAGAAGGGAGGGATGAAAGGAAGAAATGGTTATGTTTTTCTTGATAAAAAGTTATATCAATAACAAAAATATTTGTGCTTTAAAAAAAAAAAAGCGTGGTAAACAAGGAAAGTCAGAGAAGTTGTCACAGACCAGAGGAAGCTAAGGAGACATGACACAGGAGGTGCAATAGGTGTTTCAGGACTTTTCCAAACCTAGGGTCTCAAAGCTGAAGGTAACTAAATACGTTGGGGGTTCTCCCAGGATCTGCCAAACAGATTCCTGGAGTGCAAGCTCAGATTCCGTGCTGGAGGAAAGCACAGTCGTGTCCACTCCAGCGTGCTGAATGAAAGCACAGACTGGCAGGGAAGCCAGCTGGGGAGCAAAAAACTAAGGGCTAAGAAGGAGCTTTGGGAAGATGATCATGCATTCACTCATCGAACATTCCCGAGTCTCTGCTCCGTGCCACTGCCGGTGTGGGGGCTGACTTTGCAGGGCTCAAGAGAGACAGTCTTGGCCCTGGAGACTCCCAGACCAGGTGGGAGACAGTCGTGGAGCTCAGAGATTACAAGTCTGAGTAATGACAGCTGGGAGAGGATTAGACAGGGCCTGGAGGGGATGCGGGGAAGGTGCTTGGAGATGAGGCCTAAGGCCTCGTGGGTAGCAGCACGTAGCCATGGGGTTAGGGCAGGGCTCTAGAGCCAGCCCCCTGGGCCCAGCTCCAGCTCTGGCGCTTGCTGGATCCTGGGCATATCTATATATCTTTGTGCTCATTTCTGCCCCTGGAAGACGGGGGAATATGGGGAAGAGGCAGAACACTCCCTGGTACCTAGAAGTGGAGCAGATGGAGATGGAATGGGGACAGTCAGTGGCTGACAGCTGGTAGTGTTCTCCCCTGTGGAAGACAGACCACAGGAGGAAGGGCAGGTTCAGGGTAGGCACACAGAGTTCAGGGTGTCCAGGGGGCATCTCGGGGGCAAGCTGGGGGCTGGGAGGGAGCACAGAGGATGGGTTGGCCTAGGAAACGATGAGTGAGGGTCATGCCAGATAGGAGAAAAGACACAGGGGAGGGTTTCCCAATGGGTATCCTCTGGTCCCTCCTATCTGTAGAGCTGCACTATGAGACATGCAGACCTGGTTTTGAATCCTGGATCTGCCCCTCCCGAGTGGTGTGGGCCTGGCTAGTTACTTCTCTCTGGGCCTCAGTTTTCTCATCTGAAGAATGGGGGATTAATAATGCGACCTTAGGGAGTGGTAGAAAGGGGAATGAGGTAATGGAGGAGGCAGATAGTAGGAGCTCAGTCGACGTCCTGCTCAGAGACTCACCTGGAGGGGTCGATCACTTTGTAGACGACTCCATATGCAGCTGTCGCACTTGGCACGCCCGTTGACATGAAGTACAGCTCCCCTTTGGACAAGGAACAAGGTGAGGAGTGAGAACGCTGTCTGGAATACTGTCCCACCAGCCTGGCCTCAACCCCCAGTTGCTGCAGGCTCAGAGACGGACCCCAACCTCAGCAAGCCTCAAGATGAGGCATTCCAGGTCAAAGCAGCTGTCCAGTCCCCAGAACTGGAAACTGAGGCTGGAAGAGGTGGACAAAACATGGACCAAGGGCCTCTGCAGCACTGTCTCCCAGTCTGTCAGTCACTCTGTCTGGACCCACCCAGGCTCTGACTTCCACTCTCGCCTCCTTCCTGCTGACCCAGCCCCATCCCTGGTCCCTACCTGGGGTTCATGCCCAGCGCCACACACCTCTGGGCACAAATGAGGGTCCACAGCCCAGATCCCCCACTGATTGCTTCCTGGGTGACCTCCTGCAGGCACATGCGGCTCTCTGAGCCTCAGCTTCTTCATTTTAAAATGGCTGTGCCTCACAGGGCTGTTATGAGGATTTAAAAAGCAGAGTAGGTGCTCAAGCAATATCAGCTATTGTTGTTGTCATCATCTGGGAGCTGGGCCGCGGTGACTGTCTCTCTACTGACCAGCAGGCACCTCCCAGGCAGGGACAGAAAGCATATGCTCGGGGATCTCTATCCCAGCCCCTCCATCCACTTGGTTCCCTGTGATTTCCAGCAGCTCTGTGATGGCCCACTCTGAGCCTGCCTCAGTTTCCTTCACCTCTCAGGGCTGCAGTGAAGATGTAATGATCTGAGCACCCAGCAGTGAAGACACTCTCAGGGAACATTTTTCCCTCCTCTCCCCACCCCCACCCTATCCCTGCCCCTGCTGCCAGAGGCCCCTATGCCCAGGAAATAGCTTCATTATTCCCATCTTGCAGATGACAAAACAGAGGTCAAGTGACTTGGCCCAGAACTCAAGAAAGTCTGCTGCCCTAACCCCACACCAACATAGGATACATGGTGGCTGGGAGCCCAGACACAAGCCACATGTAGCTCAACATGATGGTCAGTCATGCTAATACCTCTGTCCTTGTAAGAGGACAGCAGAGGCTCCCTCAGGGATTGGGGCTGGGGGAAAAGGAGAGGCTGAGACAGACATCGAGGTAGGAGCTTGGAGGAAAGCATGTCCCTGGGGACAGGTGCAGTCAGGTGGGCTGCATGGGGGTGAGGGCTGAGAAGCAAGGCACGGGAAACCCGAGGAGAAAAGGAGAGGCTGAGACAGACATCGAGGTAGGAGCTTGGAGGAAAGCATGTCCCTGGGGACAAGTGCAGTCAGGTGGGCTGCATGGGGGTGAGGGCTGAGAAGCAAGGCACGGGAAACCCGAGGACTTCTGCAAAAGGGAAGACACTCGAGGGCTGACTTTTGTAACGTGGTAGGCCCAGCTGTGAGGAGGACAGCAGATGAGGAGAGAGGGACGCTGAGTGGTCAATGGCCCCCGACCCCCACCCCCCAGCACCAGCCCAGCCGGGGAGGTGGGGGAGGGGAGAGGCCCACACGGTGATGATGAAACCTGCAGGACTGGGGGTACCCTGGCAAGATGTCCCCATGGGAGAGTACATAGGCACAGCCATGGATCTGCTGGGCACCCTTGGGCCATCCACTTCCCTGGGAGCCCCTGCCGCCTCTCTGGCCATGTGGCCCTCACAACTGCGCTCAGCTCTGTGGAGGGCTCCCTGCACGTGCTGCTCCCTCGGCCTGGAATGCCTTCTCCATCGTCATCTGGCCAGCCAACCCGAGGCCCTGCTCTGAGAGGTCTCTGGGGGCCAGTCTGGGCACAGTACCCTTCATCCCCCATAACTGGGTGTGAGTAGTCAGCCTCTGTTTCCCCACCTGAAAAGTGACAGGGTTGGACCAGGCAGACTCTAAGTCTCCTTCCAGCCCCAGTCTGCTGGGAGCCACGATCCCCAACCCCACACACTGGCAGGGAGCCGCACTGGCACTGCCCTCTTGGTCTCTGTGGACAGTCCCTGGAGGACACTGGGCCAGCAGAGCTCCTTGTTTTGCAATTTGCAAGTGTCTAAAGAACAACTAGAGGCAGAAGCTCTAGTTTGGGAATGGGGAGAGGTTTATTTGCTCTTGGGCCCCCCGGTGACCGGTGCCTTCCAGGGGCCACCCACCTGCCAGAGCTGTCTCGGGGCTGACTGGCTCACAGGCGCCCTCTCCTGGTTTTCCATACTCGGGTGTCACGCAGAGGGCTTAGGAAGGGCCCCTCAGGAACTGCACCTTTCTTCCCGGCCTCTGCATCTGTGTGTGTGTTGGGGAGGGATGGGGAGGGATGTGGAGGGAGGGCACCCCTGCTTCCAAAACACATTAACCCCCTACTGACCAGAAGAAAGGGCTTTCAAGGACCCAGTGGGCTTGGGGAAGGCAATGGGGGCTGGGGCTTCCCTTTTGGAAATTCAGAGGGTGTCAGTTCAACAAAGGTTTCCCAGACTCAGCCCTAGGGACTCTGGGCACTGGGCCCTGTGGGGGACACCCCTCGAAAGGCCCCGGGTGGGTGTTGCCTAGCAACCCTGACAAGCATCCACCAGGGCCCCATGGGAGCCCCTCGGCTTTTGTCTGGGAACAATCCCAGGGCCAAGGACAAAGGCAGGCTGGAGCAGGATCCAGCCTCTGTGGCCCTCTACCTCTCCCCTCCCCTGTGTTCCTTGCATTGAAAACACAAGTGCCTGAATGAGGGACCCACTAACAAGCAAGAAGGCTGTGTCTGCCTGCTTTGAAATGACAATGTGGCTTTATTTAATGGCCTAATACATTTGCCATCAGGAACCCAGGGCAGGTGGAGGTCTCCAGGAAGGCTCTCTTCCCTCAGCTGCCTGCATTTCACCGTTCCAGATCCTTCCTGGTCCAGCTAACTGCTTAGACTCTTACTCATGTTATCATTCCAGTGCTCACAGCAACCCTGCTCAGGGTGGGATGGGGCAGAAAGGGACCACTATTCCCTCTTTACTGACAAAGAAATGAAAACTCAGAGAGGTGAGGACTTGCCTGAGGTCTTAAACCTGCTGAACACCTCCCTCCCCAGTGTGAATGTAATTTCAGGTCTGAGACTCCATCCCTCACATCGGAGGCCAGAAGGACCCATGGGGTGGTGGGGGGGGACAAGTCCCAGGCATGGACAGCCCAAATGGAGAGGTCTCAGGAGAGCTCACCGGCTTCGTCCTCTCCGAAGGAGATGATGTGTGGGTAGTAGTTGTTGATGAGGCCTGGGAACTCGCAGGTCTGGCCCTGGCCCATGCAGATCTCACTGTACTGCCACTGGCCTGTCCCCGGGTTCTCTTGGAGGGACATCAGACGTCTGCAAAGGAGGATGAGCTGCAATGTTGTGCCTGGCATGGTGCCTGGGGGATCCCATCCACAAATCCACCCATCCACAAATCCACCCACCCATCATCCATCCACTCATCCATGCAACCAGGACCATACATCATTTACAGGGTTGAGCACAAAATGAGCATCAGGCCACTTGTTCAAAAATTAAGAATTCCAAGACAGTGACAGCAGAGCATTAAACCAAGTGTGGGCCCCTCTGAGTGGGGGCCCTGTAGGCTGCACAGGTTGTAGGGCCATGAAGCTGGCTCCGCATGCAATCTTTACTGAGCACCTACCACAGACACATGCCTAACAAGGCCCGTTGGGTTCCTGCCCCCACCCCCCGGCGCAATCCAGCTCACTGACCAGCAGGTGGCGCGGCACTTTCGGGAGCTGACTTCAGTTTCAGAATTCCACGGGAGCATGGGAACTGCACAGCCAGGCTCCGGGGGCCACATGGTCAGACCTGGATGGGAGCCCTAGCTCCCCCTCTCCCCTGCAGGGTGAACTTGGGCAGGCGACTGCCCTCTCTGGCCTTAGTTTACCAACCTGTGCAAGGAGGGCTTAGACTGATGCTCCCTGTAGGTCTCCCTGAGTTGGGGTGGACAGGATTCTGGGCCCCCCCACGATCAGTTGGGGCAGTGACAGGTTCTGGCCTCCCCAGGAGCAAGGTGGCCCTGGGCCTATCATAAGAACTTCGGTAAGGCCCAGAGCCGTGAATCTCAGGAGGCAGGGAAGACGTGGGACCAGCACTTAAGCGGCCAGTCTTTTGTCATGGATGGGGCCTTCGTCGGGGTGGTGCTTGAGGCAGCCAGCCAAGGCTCGGGAAGGATATCAGGAGAAAAGGGAGAGGATTGGGGTGTTTCCTAAGATGTGACTCCCAACTTCCTCCCCTTGGAAAGACCTGTGTGGCCCACACCTGGGGGGCCGTCAGAGCAGCTGTGCACTGTGCACGAACACACCCACACTCCTTTTTACCCCAGTCCCAGGTGGCCGTGGCAGCAGCCAGGGGCACTCAGGGCAGTGAGCCGGGCCTGGCAGGGGAACCCGGGGGCCACCTACCCGCTCATGAAATCGCCGAAAATGTAGAGGCCGTTCAGGTTGGGGTACTCACAGCCCCGGTACACGTAGCCCCCCGTGACCGACTTGCCCATCTTGTGCGGGTAGGCGAAAATCGGCAGCACGTCGTCTACAGAGGGGCGAGAAAGCGCGGTGAGCCTGCGCGGGCAAGTGCCTCGCCAGATCAGGTCCCGAGGCCCGTGGCAACGGGTCCCCTCCCCACAACCAAGCCTCGTGGGCAGCCCTGAGTCAGGCGGGCCAAGGGCGTGGGCTTCCCAGGAGGGCCCGAAGGGGTCACAGCGGGAGGGAGATACGGCGTGCTGGGTGCCTGCAGGGGCGCCCGCAGTGGGGAGCAGGGCGAGGGGCAGCCCAGGCTGCTGGGAGGCCCCCAAACGCGGGGGCTTCCGGGTGCGGGGGTGCGGGCGGTCC